TGGGATTAATCGTAAGACCGCCTGATGGTAATAGGTTTTGCTCTAATAGTTTTCTTAGGTCATTATATTTAATTGCTAACCGCTGAGAATTGTTCTGACAGTTTTCTTGGTCTATACATTGCCTTTGCTACCGAATTGGATTTGCTCTTGTTATTTTCTTAGTTGCTTTTGTTCTTCTCACAACATTTCACCTATATTTTTAGTTCACTAACACAAAAACAAGCGACATTAATTTATTTTCGACTGTCCATATATCACCGTCAAACACGCAGTACCTACGCATTATTCGAACATTAAACACCTAAACACGAAATCTGTAAGACATTGGGCTGGGAAACCTTATGTCCCAGGGCATCCCTACGATGAGTCCTTCCCTTTATCTCTTACCTACAACTCGGGATTTAACATGATAGTCATAATTCTCCAACTATACTCACAACGCCCTACCCACACGCATACAATTTTCACGGTACTTAGTAATGCAGGAAGTGTTGTCACTTGTCTTCTTTATGGGTTAAACATATCATACCTCTTTAACGGTAGACAATCTGTCTTAATACATTCGTCATTTGTCCTACTGCGATATCTTCGCGTTAATATTCCCGTTCCGGTACGTAGATTAAGTATCATCCATCACCTGCAGAAAACTCGATGACGTTGCTGGAACATTATGCATGGACAAATCCAACGGTAATCTAAAAAGGCCAGTACAAACCATATATTGAAATCCAACTTTCGGGTAGTCCGGTGTTTCTATAGTGCAAACAGACCAGATTGCACAGTAGTAAATCCGAAAAGTAAAAAAAGGTACAAACGTGGTTTAACTTGACATTTTAATAACCATTTTGACCAAACGGTTGATCTCTTCGAAAAAATTTCAAGCATATAGTGCGAACGCTGAAGGCGGTATTGTAGTTGGAGGGTGATCGACGTAGGCACAATCGTTTTGTTTTCTCGCATCAAAAGGCGTATGTGCGCGCCATCGTTAAGATAACTCTGACCCGTGGCCTTTCTCCGCCCCAGGGGCATGGACGATTGGGGTAAGGGACTTGGATTTTTTACTTTGTTTTTTTTCTTAGATGAAGCAAACACTGCTGATAAAGCAGTTCCGGTTAGCTGGGATGATGACGCAAATGACGTTCCCGTAAGTTCTTCTTCCGCCTAATGTTTGTGAAGGACGCTTGGGATGTAGCGGCAGCAGAGCCGAAAGAGGAAGTCGAACCTCAAAAACCGGAGCCCCCCCAGAAAACAGCAAAGAAGCAGCCCAAGAAAAGCAAAACGAAGCAGACGGTTCCGCAGGATGAACCAAAGAGCGAAGAAGAAACAGCTCCAAGAGAACTGACAGAAAAGGAGCGCGAACGCCTGGCTGAAGAGGCTGAAATCGATCTGATCGCGGATTCTTTCGGTACCGGACTGCAGGGTCCTGCATCACAACAGGATGACTGGAAGTTGGGCGATCCAAAGACGGAAAAGGATTTTGTTAATTTGGCGAGCAAATTATCAGAGAAAATTCGAAACTTCGAAGTACTATCACACTTTCCATAATGCCTCTTTAGACGTCTCCGTATTATTCCAAACTTTTCGAAGGGTTAGTCCGTCAGATATCTTTAGAAGGTAACTTTTTATGTCCTCTAACCACCTTTAGCCGACCTCGATACTCTTAAGGACGTTTC